CAATTCTCTAATTTTGGTGAATATTTTTGTCATTTTTGGTAAAAAGTGATATTTTCGACTTCTTGTTAAAAACCGCAAGTCCGATTGCTTTGATATTACATATATAGGTACTACATGTGGACCTTTCTCAGATTTGTTCGTTTTGTGATGATATCTTCAATTCTCTAATTAATTTATTTTGGTGAATATTTTTGTAATTTTTGGTAAAAAGTGATATTTTCGACTTCTTGTTAAAAACTGTAAGTCCGATTGCTTTGATACTATTCATATTGTTCATTTTCTAATGATGTCTTCAGTTCTTTAATTGAAATGTGCATTGCTAACAGCGGAGCTATCTCAGCCGATAGGCTGCTTGTTTGATTTTGGGTTTAGTCAAACTAAAAAATCTAAAGGGAGTGATGACCATGAGACAGAAGAAGTTCCGTCTAAAAAACAGAAGTACAATGTGACATCAAGTCATAGTGAACCAGAGAAACTCGCGAACTTGACGAAGGACAAGAAATATGATCGTGAAAAACATGTTCGGATTTTCAAGTCACATTGGACAACTGAATTTCCTTGGGTACGCTACGATGAAGTTACGGATACTATGTTCTGTGAATATTGCCGAAACTATCCGCTGTCATCTGATAAGTCAAGTGCCTTAGTGAAATTAACGACTAATTTGAAACTCGATCCGCTACGATCTCACGATGTCACCAACGAACACTTATCCTGTAGCCGACAGTTCTTGAGAGATAAAGATAGCCGAGCAGCAACGCCAGTGTCACAGGAAAATGTATTTGAAATTCTTCACGCGAATGGGTAAAGAAAACCAAGACCAAATGAGATATTTATTCAACACCACATATACGGTCGCCAAAGCGGGAAACCCTTTTTGACTCCCATGTGAAGCACATAATGGGAGTCTTTGCAGTTAGTGTGTGTGGGGGGGGGGGGGGGGTGTATGGGTGTGTGTATGTGTGTCCGACTGTTCCACTGCTATCTCAAGAACCATACATCAGTTTTTGATGAAACTTGATGCATAGATGCTCTGGGCCAATGTGCAGATTTGATTAGGTTTTGATAAAAATCCATGCTCGTTAATTACCTAATTTGCATGATAATTAGCTAATTTTTAGCTGTTCTATGACTGTTCCACTGATATCTAAAGAACCACTCATTGGATTTT